GACAAAGTAATTTTGTTCATTCAACGAAAGATATTTATTAATTATATTATGATAACACATTGTTCGGTTGAATGAACAAAATTTCGGTTGTAGCAGGGAAATCCTTCCTCCTATATATATGCCGCAGATCATTTATAATCTTCATTGTTATCCGTGTACACTATCATAATTCACGTCCAGCTCGTCATGGCCGTAACGTTTACGTACGCGTAAACATATGCACGAGGTATTCTCACACTGCTGTCTAGCAGTAAATGCAACCCATGACCAGCCATACATTAGATTCGTGTGAGTCTACCGCATGAATCTAATCTTCTCTGAAATACCAATTCGATGAAATGGAAAAGCGCGCACACTGGCCCTTATTATTGCGGCCCGTCTCTCGATTCTCTTTGTGGCCCCGCACGCGTTGCCACGCTTTATACCGTTTGCTCCAGTTCACGGCAATGAAATCTTATATGCTCGCGAAACGACGCGCATGCAACATCCGACAACTACGGCGGATATAACGACGGCCGGGCGAGTCGTTCGACGAGACCGTCCCTATCGATTTCCACCTGCGTCCGTTTGACTCACACGCGCCTGCTCTCCTCTGTCCTATAACGCGCCAATTATTCTCGAGCGCTCGTGGGAAGGGCGTAATAATTCCGTAATAACTTCCGGAACATCGCCCGAGGAACAACGAGCGCGATAGCGAAACGGCCGCAAAACTGACAAACGATGCCGCGCAAACGATTCTGATCACTTTTCGAAATAATAACCAACGATTTTAATATTTCGTGCCATTTCCACGTAATTATCGCGTCTTTCAATAAAATGTTTAATTTACATTTACGTCGAATGGTAAAGCATTTACATTACGTATTACGTGTGTTTTATATTTCATTTTTATTCCAAAAATTATTATAATTTTTCTGTATTTTGCAATATATATATTTTACAAGAAAACATATAAATTTGTGCATGTATATTTTTAAATATTTTATTTTTTTGTTTTTATGTCAAAAAAAAGTATTTATTACTAAAGTTGCAGCAAGTGTCAAATGCAATATTTATATAATACATATTAATGAATATATATAGAAAAGATTAAAACAACACATATATATATATATTTGCCGTAATTCCAATTTTTAATAAACACATCTTGAAGAAAGAGTTTGCTTTCTCTGTCAGAAATTCTCATTGTATATAAATACTATTCACAGAGTTCTGACATTATTTGTCTTTACTTATAAGATACTCCAACGTATTTTTGTAAGAGACCTCTCTCTCTCTCTCTTTCTCACTCTCTTTTTCTCTCCATCCTCTTAAAGTGTTGCCTCCTTCGAACTCGAGAACTTCACTCCATCTTTTCGAATTAAAGCGAAAGTAAAGAAGAAAAACATTTAACGTATACGCGCAATTTTTCATGCTATTTCCAACAGTGTCGCACATCGTCCCTTATGTTTCACGCGTGTAAACAATGACGACTACGTGTATCGAATTAATTAAATGGAGCTTAAATTTATTGTTGCGTTATATATAACACAATATCGCAGTTTGGAATTTGGACAACGCGACACTTTTGCGCCCTCCTACCCCCTAGTTGTAACTGCAACCTCTCCTAGGAAGCAAAAGGAACTATTTCTAATAAGATCCGACCGCGAGGACGCTGCAAATTAATTAATTAAATTCTTGAAATTCTGGAAATGGTCAAACATCGCACGCGAGAGTAGATTGCATTCTTCCACGACAGCATTTTTTCAAGCTTCCTTACAGAAAATCATTTATTAAGTCCGTAACGCTATCGAGAAAATTCCTAAATAAAAAACTATGCATAAAAATATTGTCAATTGTTTTATAATAAATAACTAAAAATAACTATACAAATGTTTCTCAATACGGTAAATTACACGCAAAGAAAAATAAAGATTTTGCAATAACGAGACGAGATATTTATTCTCTGTGCGCTGGTACGTTTTTAAATTACAAGCTTTATATTAAATAAGAAATTTGTATCATCATTTTTACGAATTTCCGATTATTATAGCTGTTTTATACATAGTCAGTAATTAATACACTCTACGTCACGTTATCCAACTTTGACGCGTACGCGCGTAGTGGTAAATGAAGTTGAACAAGCAATAGGTTCATTAAACGGTTCATTAAACTCTATTTGATTGTATTGCTTCGTGTTTGCGTTGCATGTTAAATCAGCGCAACATTGCGGCGGACAAATGCCAGTTGCATTAAGTTATGACAGGCTACGTTGACATCCATACATGGGGAAATAACAACGCTACCTTTTGGTATTTTAACAGACCTCCGATTATTCATGTACACTTTTCGCGCACGAGGATTTTTCCACTCTGGATACTGTCGTCGGACGCGACACGTAAATCCGCGGTGTCGCTACTCTTCGTGGGAAAAACTCCGCGTTGATATGCGCGCAGGCAAAGTTATCGCGCAAACAAAGAAAACAAACTTGATAACAACGTTAGCCGCGAACCACGCCAGAAGAGTTCCGCGAGGCTGCTACATTGTAAAGTTGTCGAGCCGCGTAAGAAACCGCGAATGCAGTTGCGAAAACATCGGATTAATTAAACAGCGCTTTAAAGTTGTAATCGCCACATTAATTCTCTTGCCACGAATTGCGTTCTTCTAAAGTGAGATTATACCGCGGAATTTTATGCGGCGAAAGATACGCGCGTGCTTGTGGAGTTTTTCTAAAACGTGCTTGAATTGCTTTATTATCTTCTTCAATTGTATTATTGGTATATTTGCATATTATTATATTTGAACACATTTATTATATTGTTCGATATCTCGAACACTAATCGTGTCATTTATTTCGAAAGTTTAAATAAAACCTTAAAAAGTCAGCAGTGATCGATACTCAACGTCGGTTCACATTCGCATCTCATTGAAATTCATGATGTTTCAAGCATGGACTTACATAACTTTCCGAATAAGCGACACAATTTACAAAGTTAAATGTAACTTATGTGAATTGTACAATATAAAATATTATCATCTACTTTCGAAAGCAATCAATTTAATATTAAATATAATTAAAACAGTGTAGTATTACATTTCTTAATTGGTAATGTAATATTATAAAAAATTAAATTGCGTTTAAAAAAATAAGAATCAACGTAATTGTATTTTAAAATATTGTGTTATAATATATTATACGTATATTAAATATTTTGCATAAGATATTTTTAATTATCAAAGTTTGTAATTAATGTAATGTATTAATATATTATTCTTATTATTAATGTATTTGTATATTATCGTTAATTTTATACATTCTAACATTACATTATTTCGTTCATCTTCATTTTTTTTCGTTTAACGAGATAACTGTAATATGGTTTTATATGGTAGTTCGCGAGAATGATACGTCGTAACAGTTGCTCGTTAAAGCTGTTGCTAATGAGAAAATCTTAAACATTATACGCCGCTAGATAAATATAATCAAGCATACGTGAGAAACAACGTTAAATAACAGGAGTGTGAAAAAATAAGAGGACAAACAATGTACCGGCATTAATACAAAAGTCGTAATTTATATACATTTTGATGCAGCGAAAACTGCTATCTATTGCGTGTACATGTTTTATCTATTTTCTTGGCGGTATCATCGATCTTGAAGGAAATTCTCGTCCTATTATTAAGATTCGTGAAAAGGAAGGACGCGGAAGTTGAAAATTCTCCGGACCGACGAAATTTTGTTTATTTCCTCTTTTATTTCGTCGCACCGAAATTAGATGACACTAATGCTTTTACTTTGTACAATTGCACGGACGTTGTCGCCTCTCCGGTTCGTTCTGCATACCTAATTAAGGTGCAAATAAGCGTAGTGTCGCTTTGTCCCGAGATCAACTAAGAAAGGGATGTGCAATGGCGCGCGCGTTGAAGCATTAGATAGTCCTGATTCGAAAAGTTTAAGAAATTTCTCGATATTGTTGACAGCAGGCTTACATCCCCCTTCATAAACTGTGTCGTATCAGAGTTTTTTTTCGAAAATAACACAGTAAACAATATACGGCAGCATCGATTGAGCGAGTATTGAAGTATCAAAAATAATCGTCTCAACACCGATGTTGAGTCTGTGGCACCCATTGTTGACCCAATTGTGATCCTGTGTTGGCGTGACTTTGCACCGATGTCGTCGAACGTCGATTGGCTACTGATATTGCCCTAACTATTCGATCGATCCTCACGATTGGCACTTTACCGACATTTCCACGTACAGCGGGAGAGTATAAACCAATTTTGCACAAATCAATTTTTAATATTTAAATAATCGGTAAAAGTAAGAAAATAGGAAAAAATTCTTACATTGTATTAAATTTCTTGTGTCACAAACTCGCTTCTACTAGTATAATCTTACGACACCAAATTAAGCGCTACTAATTAATGGATGACATTTAATAAATTTTGACTGATTAGTGTATTTGCATTGTTAATGCTTTGAAGGAAAATTCAATTTTCTATCATACGGTAATGCTGATTGCCACAAAATTGTGTTTAATTAATGAGTATAATCTGAGTTTCGCAGTGGTAATACTAGTTACAGAGAAAGCTTGTTTGTGCTAATTACTGAGTATTGGTGGTCATATGGTTACGCTCTGTCTGTCTGAAAACTATTAACCCATTGATTGGCGCATGCGGTAACAACGTTGCAAGCAAATTCGTCTTTTTGCACCAAGGAAATAGATGCAATAGTAACCCTTATACTTTTATCAACTAAATTTCAATATTAATATGTACATTATTTTATTCAATCTCTTTACAAAATAACGGTTTTATATTTTTTGAAAAAAAGAAATGCAATATGTCTCATCGATAAAAAATAAATAAATTTTATCCAATTGACATTGGCGAGACGATGAGTAATGGCGTGCCAATTGTCGAAAAAATTGGAGAATGCCAGGTGTTTATTTATACATCCATTTCTCATGTGTCAATCAATGGATTGTGTGTATAACAAGCTCTGGCAAATGTCTCACCGTGCCCTCTCCTAGATTGTGAACAACGCAAGGCATCAGGGCAGTGGATCCTGATTGCGCTGAAACTGTTGTTGAATTGTCCGTGCCGAAGGTCATCGGCAGAGTTGGCGGCAAGTCCACATCCAACGGTTTCCCCGTCGTGCCGTCCAGTGAGTTCACGTTCATATCGACTATTTCTGCCGTCACCGCCGCCGGATACTCTGAAATTAATTATTGATTATTACTCCTGAATGAAATGTTCAATGATTCTTAAGAAAGCACAAAATATAGAACTTTAGGCACAATATCTATAGTTAAAAGAATAATGAAAAGCTGTAATGTTTTTGTAACAATGTATTAGATTAATGCAGAAAAGGTTTGTCATGTTGTAGAAAAAATAAAATTATATAAAGTCTTAAACCTAATATTTATTAATCAACATTGTTGCTATTAATTTTAATACATTTCTTCCATTTGTGGAGTCAAATTTTTGTACGGATTAAAAAAAACTCTGAATTATTAGAATTTATAAATTCCTTAATGATCATTTCAAGAGCTACATACTTGGTTTACAATATTTTTGTTTTTCCAAATCTGATCCAGATTTTTAAACAGATGGTAATCAGTGGTTGAAAGATCCGGAGAAAACCGTGGCCAAAAAACAGCTCTCTTTGATTAACAGAAGAGGAGTGCTTTTTTGCATGATTACGCTCGGCTACATAGCGAGAATGACCAAACTATAAACTTCAAAAACTCTAATTTGAAACATTACCGTATCTACTGTATTCTCTGGATTTCTCGTCCACTGCTATCTGTTTAAACATCTCGATTCGTTTAGAAAAAATTCGTAAACCAAACAGCTATTAAAAACGCTGTTGTAAAATTTACAACTTTTAATAACTCAAAGTTTTTTATATCTGGCATACAAAAAGTTGTTTTCAGATGAAAGAAGTGTATTGAAGCCAATGGCGACTACTTTGATTAATAAACATACATTTCTTACATAAAATTTAAGACCCTTTAATTTTATCTTTTTTCTAAGTATAATATGATAAATACGCCAAACCTTTTGCATCTAATAGCAAAATAAGTATTAAAGTATGTGCTAAAAAAATACTTGTTTAATCAAATTTTATCTCCACAAGTTCGAGATCAAATTTAGACACATAAAAATTAATTTTTTAAAAATAAATATTAAATCATTAAATAATTTAACAACATGATTAATGGAGAAGATAATTAGTTCGATCAATTGCAATTATTGGTGCAATTGTATTAATAAAATTTGCGGATGTATAAACATGTAAATTATTAACCAGATATTTATTGCAGTGAGAATGTTTATCAATTCTATCTAAACGGATTTTTTTTTATATAAGAATAACTCTGCTGTATTTTAATTTTTATATTCACCTTTAAATTAATATAATTATCTCACTTTTTACAGATAGTGTTGGACTTGACAGATTAATTAACAAATTGATATATGCATACCAACACGATATATTATATACTCATTTTATTACTTCCGATAAATGATCAGCCCAGGGGAAGGGGACGGCAATTTACTCTGGTCATGTATCTGTCCTGTGAGCAATTTTGCATGAAATGTAACGAGTCTAGTCCCTTATCACGAATGCTGAAGCCGGCCGAGTTTTCAGCGCCGGAGGTCATCGACTATCCTCGAAGTAACCGCCGTTAGATGCACCGAGAAATTGGCATTAAATCACGATGGCTTTTACGAGGTCGACTTCGTTACAATATGAGCTTGCCTTCGCATGAATATGAGTCAAACTCTTGATTCTGCGTTCTATTTTTAATGCAGTGTCCAACCACAAAATTTCATTAAATGATAATAGTCCTCGCAATTTAGTGGTACAAAAATAAGTATGCGCACCAAAATGTTTATAACTCGTTTCAGCAATTCAAATTAATAAATAGAATTGTGGTTTGTAAAAACATAAAACGTAAACACATACACGCGCGCGCGTGCATGCGCCTTTTAGTAGAAAATGTGTAATTATTGTGTTTTCGAAAGATGATATTTTTGTCAGAGATTTTTTAGGTAATCCAAAAAATTTAAATAGATGTAGTTTTGTTTTTCTGTAAAATATATATTTACAGGCATAAAACTATTAAACTTGCTATGTTTATGTGAATATTTATAAGAAATTATCACATTTTGCTAATGTTTGATGTTTCCAAATTTTCATTTTCAACTATCGTAACATATTCCTGTATAGTGCATATTATAAGCACTGAGGCTTATATATATATCGTCATTAGTATGCAAGCATTATAACTATAATAACAATAAAATTAATTTTGTGTCATTTTCTAGCTTGTTCAATAAAGTTATTTTTACGTTTTTAAGAGAAAACAATATAATATATTTAACGCGCACTACATTTATACATTTTACAAATTTCGGTGTTACATGCGCAATATTTATAAATTGATTCATGTGTTAGTTATGCGCGCCAATATATACTGATTTGATTTCTTTCATTTGAACCGGAAATGAGTGATACGTATGAAAAAAACTCTTTTCTCTACGCCATGTTTCGCGTCCACGTCGTTTTGCCTATCGATCTCGACGTGCAAGCGCTTCGGTACAGCGCTGAAGATGTCTACAGACTGACATGGCTAAAAAGTACTTTCCATCGTATGCATCACTTTTCATCCATGAAAATTTACGGAATGTTGCCGGTCATGCATGGCGCTTGTGGCTATATCGGATGCGCCGTCTTGTCGGAATAATTTTATTTCTCCCGATGGTTGGAGGGATGGCAGCAGCGAGAAAGCGCAAGGTAGTTATCCGTCCATGTCACGCGGATTCCCACAAGACCGTCATTTATTTTGCTTCCCGTAAAGAAAATAACGAGTAAAAAATCTATATCCCCCGCGTACAAATGTTTGTGCAGGGGCGATCGTGGTGGCGCGAGGGTGGTTAAAGTCCGGTGGAAGCCTCTTAACGAGAATCCCTCCGACGCGGTGCTGAGGCTTTGAGCGGGGAACCGTTAAACCTTGTTCGACCTCGTAACGACTGCTTTGATTTAACGCCTATTTTTCAGAGCCGCCGATTACCGTGGGCGGTGGTGTGTGGTTGGCGGGTGAATTCGTTAGATGATGCTCACAAGGAAGTTCGTCTGGTCGGCGACCTATGTTGACAAGACTGCGCCGTTAACGATCACGCGCGTTGACGTTCTTGTCATTATTCCAGATGGATGAAAGTTAAAGAAAAAGTGTGATAGCTTCGAAGTTGACATCCGAAACTGAGATACCACGAAAATTTGTAAAAAAGATCATAGCAGATGTAAGAAGTGGAAGTAGAAGCTGAAGCCTGGAGATGTGCCAACTTTCGACTTAAAATGTAAAAAAAAAAATCCGAAAAAAAATCAACGTAAATGTCAAAAGAGTGTGAAATAAATTTTGAAAATCATAACGACCCGATTAAAGTTAATATTTTTGCTCGAAACGTTGTTATATGTGTTTGGTATGGAAAATTGAATTTTCCAAGTCTTCTCAATAACGATCAATAACTCGTAATTTAAACTTGGAACGATAGAATCCCCCCAAATCCTTCTAATTACTATGTGAAATTCAAGTCGAAATATCGGGTGTCAAAGTTTGGAACTACACAGCTAAAGCACTAATTACCATTGATTAATTGTTCATGAATCTCCTTAGTTACTTACTACGATCGTTTCTCAACGGTGCGTGATTATGAATTTATGAAATATATAATTAATTACACACAACACAGACGTAAGATCAAGCAGGGGCGCGCGCGCGCGCATTTTAGCGACACGAAAGCTCCTATTCTAGTTACATAGCGACGTTTGAGAATATTGTTCGCGTTTCGTGACGATGAAATTTCCGTTCGCGATTTCCTCGAAACGTTACCGTTCCCTCTGCCGGAGGCATGAGCAACGCGCGCAATGTACATTCGAGATATTAGCTTTGTGCTCGTGCCCTTTGATCTAACTTACTAGTCCTTCTTGACCCGTTTTTCACCCGACGACGAAGGCGCGCGTTCGGCGACCTGCAACCCGTTCGGTTACCCAAAAATATTTTTAAAATTGCATCACCAAAGTACCTTGCGCGACCTCGTTTGCCATCAGGGTGCTGATAAAGTTTTTTATTTTTATAGCGAAAAAGTAGAGGAATAATGAGGACATCATTATCGGTACCGAGAGAGATCGAGTTTTTTAAGAGTGTACTAGTAAAACTCATAGAAGATGTTGGCGGTCGATAATGCTAGGAAAATATTTGAGCGGAGCGACTTTTTCTTCTTTGTGATAAAGTAGCGTCCAGATAATATATGGATGTTAGGAAGTCGCTCAGAAATTTTCAGAAATTGCTAGCGATGTATAACATAGTGCTTAATATACCGGTCAGCTCCTTTTCGATCTTAAAAGATTATTCTGAACAATATCCAGGATTTTCTTGGTTCTATTCATGAAGAATAATAGAAAATATAGGGCAGGCTACATTATTTTCATTTCATAAATCATAAACCATAATGCCGAATATGTGAAGTAATTAAATGTTTCTCTTAACATGTTTATTGGTTATAGAGTAATATGCATTAATAAATATTTGATAATCAAAATTGTTACACAAATTGATTTCGAGATTATTTTTTATACATATTCAAATTTTTACCATGTTTTTTTATGTATAAAAAATGTATGAAAAATACAATATAAACACTCATATCAATGTTATGCAATATTCAATATACATGTGATACAAGTATTTGGATTTATCAAAAATATACAATTCTGCTTTTCGTTGATAAAAAACAAGAACGATATGGAAGGTATAAAAATATTACAATCTCGGGTGACTTTTGGTAAACGTACGTGTCTACAAAAGAGAAAATTTTGTAGATTTGGTTAAAACCAGGAACGATAAAATCATTTTTGTCACACACACACACACACACACACATATATGTACATACAAAAAAATCTTTTATGTATAAGACTCATTAAAATATTAATACATTTACTGAAAGTGTAATATATTTGTAGCTTAAAATAATTTAAAGATTTTAGGATTATAAAAAATTAATTCATCCAAAAAATACATTCATGTACCACCTTTTCATTAAAACGACATTCATATATCTAGTTGCATTATCAATCGACTTTTTGTTAAAAGTGAGCACATCTCGTTTCAAAAAGACGATTCTTCGAGTACTAAATTCGAAGCC